ATTTCATGTGCAGACCATACCTTTCCATCCCCTCCCAAATTATTCTAAAAAATCGGCGAAAACTGCCAAAATAGATGACCTCCCAGCTATGAACATCAATGTGCGTGTAGGTGTGTTGGAAACAGCGACCGCATCAACACCGTGGCGTTGAACTAAGACTCTTTGTATTTTGTTCTGAAATGCTGAGATGTCCGTCTACATTTCATGTGCAGACCATACCTTTCCATCCCTTCCCAGAATATTCTAAAAAATCACCGAAAACTGCCAAAATAGATGACCCCCCAGCTTGGAATATCAATGTGCGTGTAGGTGTGTTGGAAACAGCGGCCTCATCAACACTACAGCGTTGAACTGAGACTCCCTGTATTTGTTTCTGAAATGCTGAGATGTCCGTCTACATTTCATATGCAGACCATACCTTTCCATCCCTTCCCAAATATTCTGAAAAATCGCCGAAAACTGCAAAATAGATGGCCCCAACAGCTTGGAACATCATATTGATATAGGGCTGCCTCGGTCGAAGGTGCGTGTAGGTGTGTTGGAAACAGCTACCGTATCAACACTACGGCCTTGAACTAAGAATCCTGGTATTTTTTATTGAAATGCTGAGATTTCCGTCTACATTTCATATGCAGACCATACCTTTCCATCCCTTACCAAAATATTCTGAAAAATCGCCGAAAACTGCAAAATAGATTGCCCCAACAGCTTGGAACATCATATTGATATAGGGCTGCCGTTGTCGAATATGCGTGTAGGTGTTTTGGAAACAGCGACCGCATCAACACTACGGCCTTGAAATAAGACTCCTTGTATTTTTTTCTGAAATACTGAGATTTCCGTCTACATTTCATGTGCAGACCATACCTTTCCATCCCTTCCCGACGCATCTTAGACGGATGAGGCTTCTTCCGAAGGGCGTTGATCCTTCGTGCCGAACGTCTGCGTTGACAGGTTGTCCTGTGTAGTCACTGTAGAAGACGTCTTCGATTTCTTCTTAGATGTGATCTCAGGGATGAGGATGGGCGGCTCATCATAGACATCTACTTCTTCCAGAGGGACGATCTCAGCTGAAAAGGACCTCGTCCTCCGCGTTGCCCCGTGTGGAGACTTCGCCAAAGTCTTCGTTGTAGCTGCCTTCTTCCTCTTGGAAGATGATGCCCTAGTCTTCTTAGACTGCGAAGAGGGTGTCTCAGATGTAGATGACCTCTTCCTGGAGCCAGCGGTATCTATGGCAGCAACCTCCTCCGTAGACGACCCCGGTAGACCACTGGAATGGTGTATCTGCGCAGACACCAACTGCCGGTCCTCTGCAAGCTTGTAAAGACATGTCGTGTAATTCTCGTCTGGACCTGTCCTTTGCACGTCTAGACAGATAATATGAATGTTTATAAAATGCAATATCAGACAGATGAAGACACAACTGACAACGAGTGTCAGATAAACATATAGGCTTGCAATTAGGACATAGGTTATGCAGATCAACAGCAGAAAAATGATACCTACAACCAGAACAAGATTTCATCAATTGTAAACAATGTGAATAATCACGTAAAAAACGTAAAAAACGTAGAAATTTGAGAATTAATTCCGTAAAATATTGTAGGTAAATGTTAACTAAAGCATTATACAGATAATTTAGAAAAAAGACTAAATAATAAAAGGATATAAAGCCGTATAGGGGACCAGATGCTCTCACAACCGCCCACTCGGGCGAATCAGGAGAGAGTGAAGAGCATGGGAGACAGGTGGCGCCGTTTCCCGCCAAAACCTGGGAAGGGAGGTGACTCCTGGTAACTGATTTTACGTCCGCTTTTTTTAAGGGAGCTTCAAAAGGGGATTCAAGGGTTCCACTAGCATTCGGAAGGAAAGGGAGACATGAGTCAGGATAAGGAAAAATCAGGGGTTTGGATTAATCAACCCTTGCAAATCTGCACATTCTGAATAAATTTTCACTTTTATTGACAGCTTGAGTTGAAAATGTAAGAATTGTGTTTCCGGCAATGGCTTCTCAAAAAGAAAGAACCAGTCTCACTAACAAGCGTCAACCAATCAGATGGGTTGCTTTGACCACACACCCGTTTTGTGCAGACCTATTGTCCTCCGTTTGTGTCAAGATCGTTTGGCTGAGGGTCAAACTTGGGTTTCAAAATCAATTCGCAGAAATAACAATAAAGAATTGGTATGTGTGATGAGTGCATGAGATGGTAGCGTAGCAATCGGCAAAGGAGTACACCAAAGCGTCCAGACTTGTCTTGATGTATTGTACTGTGAAGAATTTCGTGTCGGGGGTCATCTCAAAAATAATATTTTTTAAACTGTAATCCTCGCAAAGACACGTGGGCCTGTGGTCATAGTTTGGTTCAGGTAGAAGCGTCCTGACACTGTCGTTTGCCTACCTGCACTTCCTTCTTGGTACCCAGCTTCTCAATACGCTCCAACACCTCATCAAACGGCATCATGGGAAACAGACGGTGAGCCCAGTGTTCCAGGTACTTCATCATCACTCGCAGGTCATCAGCCTGGATAGACAGTTTCTCATCCAATCAGCATGACACAGAACAGAACAACACATCTAACCAATGAAGACTGAAAATTCAATATCAGACATTATAATTCGCCTCCTAGTGTGAACAGACGTGTAGTATTGTGCAAGCCTACTTGTTAAAGATATCATCCAGGGTCCCGATCAACAATGCCTTCTGTTTCTCTATACCACTGACAATCTACCGAACCCCTACTCATCCTCATGTGTGCATTTAGTGTAGTAGAATGGGAACAGAATGCTAACCTCATGACCTCGACCTTTGAATTTGACATCCTTGAAAACCCGCGGTAGAAGTGGTATTCCTCTGTCTCCGCTCAACCTGACAGACAGAACATTTTAACAATTAACATTTAGCATTGTGTTCGGTCATCAACTTCAGCATTTATCCACTAGTCAGCCTTCACTCATGAATACGTAGGCTATTACATGTTACATGGCATAAAACTGATTTGAGACCCAGGTAATAAAATGAAGCCAGGATGAAAATATCCCAAAGGAAAATCATTTCACTTTAAGTTTATTCGAGTTTTCGAGAACCCTAATGTTTCTTTATATGGAAGCAATGTATAGAGTAGATGTTGCAAATGCTGCATGATAAATCTTGCCAACATAATAATCTGAGCTCTATACTAAACCAGACTGCATCTGGTGCTCAACGAGGAGCCAGCAATGTTATATGTTGCTATCAGCAATAATCCAGTAACATCTTGACTTGACATATAACAAATAAGCAACAACCCGGGAAGATCCTGGTCAGAACTGCTCTTTAGCGACCCAGTACTTGTTGTAAGAGGACCCAGGAAGATACAGGTAGAAATTGCTCTTTAGCAACCCAGTACTTGGTGTAAGAGGACCCAGGAAGATACAGGTAGAAATTGCTCTTTAGCAACCCAGTATTTGGTGTAAGAGGACCCGGGAAGATACAGGTAGAAATTGCTCTTAGCGACCCAGTGCTTGGTGTAAGAGGACCCAGGAAGATACAGGTAGAAATTACTCTTAGCGACCCAGTGCTTGCTGTAAGAGGACCGAGGAAGATACAGGTAGAAATTGCTCTTTAGCAACCCAGTACTTGTTGTAAGAGGACCCAGGAAGATACAGGTAGAAATTGCTCTTTAGCGACCCAGTACTTGCTGTAAGAGGACCCAGGAAGAGACAGGTAGAAATTGCTCTTTAGCAACCCAGTATTTGGTGTAAGAGGACCCAGGAAGATACAGGTAGAAATTGCTCTTAGCGACCCAGTACTTGCTGTAAGAGGACCCAGGAAGATACAGGTAGAAATTGCTCTTAGCGACCCAGTGCTTGGTGTAAGAGGACCCAGGAAAATACAGGTAGAAATTGCTCTTTAGCGATCTAGTACTTGGTGTAAGAAGACCCGGGAAGATACAGGTAGAAATTGCTCTTTGCGACCAAGTGCTTGGTGTAAAAGGATTCGGGAGGATACAGGTAGAAATTGCTCTTAGCGACTCAGTGCTTGGTGTAAGAGAACCAAGGAAGATACAGGTAGAAATTGCTCTTTAGCGATCCAGTACTTGGTGTAAGAGGACCCGGGAAGATACAGGTAGAAATTGCTCGTTAGCGATCCAGTACTTGGTGTAAGAGGACCCAGGAAGATACAGGTAGAAATTGCTCTTTAGCGACCCAGTGCCTGGTGTAAAAGGATTTAATCTTCAGCAACCCAATATTTGTTGCAGTAAGTGAATGAGTTTAAAACTAGCCTCACTCAGCAATATACCAGCTATTTTGTGGCAGTCTGTAAATAATCAGATCTGGATCAGATAATCAAGTGATCAACAGCATGTGCATCGATCTACGCAACTGGGATACAATGACATGAGTCAACCAAGACAGTGAGTCTGACCATGGCACCCGATGCTTGTTGTAAGAGGCGACTAATGGGATTGGGTGGGTGTTCCGGCTCCATGACTTGGTTGAAACATGTCATCGTATCCTAATTGCTTAGGATTGATGCTAATATGCCAACCATTGAATTGTCCAAACAAGATTATTCACAGATAGTTATTTAGCTGGTCCAAACAAGATTATTTACAATTAGTCATTTAGTTGAATATTGCTGAGTGTGGCTTTAAACAACAAACAAAAACAAAACAAATTGGGAATAGAACTATGCCTTCAGTGTGAGAAACACTTTAACTACTAGGCTACATGACTTCCCTGTGTGGAATGATCTAAGACTCACAAGTAAACTTGGCAGACAGATTTTGAACAACACTAAATGTTGCTCCAAACAGGCAATGAGTGAGTGAGTTGAGTTTTACGTCACACTCAGCAATATTCCAGCTATATGGCGGTGGTCTGTAAATAATCGAGTCTGGACCAGACAATCCAGTGGTCAAAAGCATGAGCATCGATCTGCACAAATGGGAACTGATGACATGTGTCAACCAAGCCTGACCACCTGATCCTGTTCGTCGCCTCCTACGACAAGCATGTGTTACTGAAGGCCAATATTCTAACCAAGACCTTCAAGGGTAACAAACAGGCGATGAGCAGCCTGGAAAAATCCCTGCTGCCCGTTCACACAAAACAAAACACAAACCTTGAAGCATCTAGTTGCGGCTGTGGCCGTCTCACCACCTTCTTCCCAGCACCTTTCATTCCCTTCAGCTTGGCCAACACATCAGCATTTTCTGTTGAAGCAATGTTCATCATAGAAATATGTCATACAAGTAGGGATGTCACGATACATAAATTGCACGAATCGATACGTATCAAAATACCTATTTTCGCTGTATTATTTCGTAAATTTAGTTACATTTTGAACATTAATATTACTTTTCTTGTTATTGTCCATGAAAAGATTAACATATTTTATTCTAAAAGATGAAAAAAGTTTTAATTTCCCCTCTTTGTGAATGAAAAATATCATATATAACTTACATAACATCAAAAAACATGATACAACTGCAAAATGTTAACGATACATTAACATATTTAAACAGATACTTTCAAAACTAAATATCGATACAGTTTTGAATGTATCGACAATTGTATCGTCTTAGAAAAAGTATCGATGCATCAATGCATCGTGGCATGCCTACATACAAGAGAAGTGTGGAGAGAAGAACATGTCCCTAGACATGCACACACAATGCGTTTCAGGAACAAATTTTCCTTTCCTACCGCAAACACTGATTCTAGCACGACAATGTGTGATACTCGATTCTGATTGGCTGAGAGCTCATAAAAACCGTACTTAAATGACAGTTTAAGGACCGCTAATTAAAGTGACCGATTCACCGCGTATGAATACAACGAACTCGTTGACCCTATTGTTTGTAAACAAACATGTCGGACATCGGCAATTTCTATCTCGGCAGCATCTTTGGTGTTTTTGAAGTAAAAAGCGAATGGTTTGAAGAAGAATTTTTAAACCCTTATCCCACTGAAGAAACTACGAAGCTGGAAAATCCGTCAGCAGCGCAAAAAACGGCAGTATATTCAAAGCGACTCCAGATCTACGTGTGGTAGACGTCGACAACACACGTCGGCCCACACATCCTAACCGCTTCCGTCCCGGCCGTAATGCCCAGTCTTCCACTTCCACTGTCCATGTATCCCACATAAAACGTGGCATGTCAGGTCTTTTCCAAATTGGGAATAGTAGGGTGGTTATCAACAATTATTACCGTGAATAAAGTTAGCGGCGACTAAACTTAGCGAGTTCACGGCTTGCATTTGGGCGAGTCGATTGTCATACAGGAGGGGAGATCAATAATTCGCTCGAGAAAAATCAAATAATTGTACTTGCTCACAGTATTAACTGTATACTTTTTTATTTAGGTATGCTACTTGTTACAAATACAAGCATACTGTTTCCTGAAATATAGCATTTATGTTGTTGAAAATGTCTTATTTTGTTCATTACACAACCTGTCCCTCAACCGGACGATTCCAAGCGATTTCCAGGAAAAAGGCCCCTTACCGCCTTGTGTTCTTGCGCGCCAAACAGTTCGGTTTTTTCAAACGCTTATCAGTCGTGCTAGAATGAAGATAAAGCTACTCTGTTTTCAATTTTGCTAACGCGTTCGGTTTTTAAATTACATTTAGCGGTCTTAAATCAACGATAAAGCACCGCAAAATTGAAAACAGAGTAGCTTTATCTTCTAAGTATACTTCATATAATAGACTGAATAACATTCGAAGATATGATTCGACCAGCTGACCCATTCGATATCTTCATCTTTTCATGGACTTGAAGTTATATAGTTGATGAAACAATTCTCAAGAGTGAGTGAGTTTAGTTTTACATCGCACTCAGCAATATTTCAGCTATATGGCAGCGGTCTGTAAATAATCAAGTCTGGACCTAACAAGCCAGTGATGAACAGCATGAGCATCGATCTGCGCAATTGGGACCCGATGACATGTGTCAACCAAGTCAGCGAGCCAGATCACCCGATCCCGTTCGTCGCCTCCTACGACAAGCATGGGTTACAGATGATCAATATTCTAACCCGGACCTTCACGGGTCAATTCTCAAGTGCTTTAGCAAGCACACCATCCTGTATTGATACAGAAAAAACACAATGATGAATCGTAGCATCACTTGTTTCACCACTATACTATATTCAGGGATAGAAATGCAAGTTTTTTAAGGGTGTTGTAGTGCACAGATAATTTAGGTGTGCCTTTGTAAAAGTGTAACTGTGCCCACACCTGTTGAGGATACAATTGAATTAAGCTTTAAACAACAATCATGTCATTTCAATTTATTGTTAAATAAATCAATAAACTTCATGTAAACCTGTAAATTTGTAAGCTGGAGTTCCTGGACACTATCAAGACAGCAAGAATAGTTCAGCTTCACTTGTCCTTGCTTGACCTTCATTTCCGTTTATGTGCACTGTGATTCAAAATAGTCATGCCCATGTTAAGATGTGAGACGGAGAGTGTAACCAATAAACAGAGTGATGGGATGCAAAACTTTAAAATAGCTTTAGCAGAATTTCAGTTGGTCTAATATATCACATTTTCCACAAATTGACTGACTGACTGAGTTTGGTTTTACGCCGCTTTTAGCAATATTCCAGCAACATCACAGCCGGGGACACCAGAAATGGACTTCACACATTGTACCCATGTGGGGATTCGAACCCGGGTCTTTGGTGTGACGAGCCAACGATTTAACCACTAGGCTACCCCACCGCCCTTCCACAAATTGAATCATGGTGAGTACTATTTTAATAATTTTAGTCGTGCCGCCAGGGCACATTGAAAATATTTCATTAGTGCAATTTCAAGTTAGACCGTGCCACGGTATCAAATTCAACACTACTTAGATCCCTGTATATCATAAACATCAACCGTGTGGTTAATTATATAGTCATGATTACCCAGAGGATGGAAATAACCCATTGCCCGACGTCTGAGTCCAGTGTGTTTTTTTCTGTTGGGCAAGCAAATTTGTATGTCAAACTGTACCGGTGGAAAATTATCAGGGCAAGTGATTTTACATGTGCCATTGTACCAGAGTAAACTAGCAATATTAAAGTTATTTCCACCCCTGTTACCGCTGGTTAAAATGATTGATGACTGATAATAACATCAATAGGAAAGATTATTAATGATTATTGATATGAAAATTGTGTTATCGATAATATTGTTCATTAACTTTTGTGATAGAATAAAGTTTTCATTTTCTCATGCAATAAACAAATTACGGACTAAATGATGTTTAGGAAGGTGTTTTGTTAATAATCCAAGCAAAAACACGTCATCACTCACCAGTGTGAGTGAAACATGTAGTTATTTCTTTTAGACATTTTTGCTCAAAGTTATGCTTCTGATATTTATCGATAAACTGTCGATATTTAGTAAATGATTATCGATCTCTATGAATCGATAGACAGCCCTAGTCATGACTGACTGAGTTTGGTTTTACGCAGCTTTTAGCCATATTCCAGCAACATCACGGCGGGGAACACCAGAAATGGGCTTCACACATTGTACCCATGTTGGGATTTGAACCCGGGTCTTTTGCGTGACGAGCGAACACTTTAACCACTAGACTACCCCACCGCTCCCCTAGTCATGATAGTATTTAACGTATACAACACCAATCATTGCAGTTCTGTAACTGTAGCAACACTAACATTACTGACAATTTTGACAGATATATGTCATTGTCCAGAGCTCCTGATAGGATGAACATCAGTGTAACAACTATGAATCAGAATGCGAACAAATATGCATAAACATTTAAAAAAAACTCAACAAATTGTAAAATAACACTGTTCAGAATTTTTCATCATTTTGTATGAAAAACATGGCTTATTTATCACACCAAATATAATCATTGATTGATTCGAATATTATTTACTGGTCAAATGTAGACAACGCCTTTTTATATGAACACTATTGGAATAAATATGCTCAGATGAGTTTTTTGTTTGTTATTTAACGCCACTCTCAGCAATATTACAGCATATGGAAGTAATCTGTAAATAACTGAACATAGACCAGACAATCCAGTGATCAACAGCATGAGCACTGATCTACATAATTGGGATACAATGACATGTGTTAACTATAAAGTCAGCGAGCTTGATCACATGATCATGTTAGTCGTTTACGACAAGCATGGGTTGCCGAAGACATATCTGGGGCACATTATTCCACATATATCTACATCTACATGATCTACGAGGCAAACGTCACCTGGGTCCTGACTGAGAGGCACATCCTCGTCTCCTTCACCGAGGGGCTCCAACTCAGCTGGGAGATCAGGCAGCGTTGAGGGGAAGTCTTCTCTATGGTCATCTCCATCCTCAAAGATCCCATCCATATCTAGGTGCACAGACTCCATCCTCAAATGCTCTGTCTGCTGCTGTGAATAAAAACATGAACAAACATTCTAGAAAAACTATTTGGATGATTAGTAGAAGCCATTTTTGAACTTATCGCTCACTCAAATGTGTCATTTCTATAAAAACAGATTGTTTTACGAGAATCTGGTTTACTATGGTCACAGCTTTCTTGTCCGACATGTCTGAGTCATTACACAGTCCCTCAGCATGGGAGACAACTCTGCAGCACACACACAAAACATGATCAAACTTTACCCATGAACAAGGTGAGGTGAGGTGAAACTGGGTTTAACGTCGTGCTTGAGAATATTTCACTCATATGACGATGTGCCTGCGTGTGTATGCGTATGTACTAGCCCAGACTAAAGCTGGTTTATAGTGCTAGCCCGCTGAAATACCATGCCGCAGTGAAGCATGAATACCCCACTCAGACACAGTATACTGACTCCGAGCCGACCAGTCCTTGTTGTACCAATTAATCCCAAGCGCCGGGCAGGGACCAACAAGTACCATATTTTAACGTCTTTTGGTGTGACGCGGTCGGGGATCGAACCCTCGACCTTCCGCTCTCCGGGCGGACGCTCTAACCACTACTTACCCATGAACAAGATGAAAGGGGCCATCATTTAACATGTTCTAGCACTGATGGAAACTATTTAAGTAGAAAATACCCCATGGTTCCCACAGTAGATGATTCAGACTTGGAAACCAAGGCAGATTAACTTTTATAGCTTGTGAACTAATTGACATATTGCTGCACATGTAATATGTCTTTCAGCAAATGTCACCATTTAAATTAGTTTTAAACATGAATTTTTCACTTCTCTATGGAATTTGTTTTAACCCCTGTGGCTATAGATGCCACTTGCAGAGTACTTTAACTGGGGATGGGTATGTGTGCTGAAAATTAGAGATGGACATAAACTTGGCCGTAATTTATTTCAGTTTTAGATTTGTTTCATTAGTATATATGTAAGGATTGACTGTATTTTTTACAGTTCATTGAGGTATGAATTGAAAATGTGTTGAGCAAACTGTATGCATCCCCAGAGACTTGTATAAATGAACATGTTCAGAGCTCTTGAACATATATTTGCTTCTGAACATGAACATATTTGCATTTGTGGTTATATCACATACATTGAAAACAGCATTCCGCATGAGATATGCAGTTATGGCGTGTACAGAAAGAGACTCCCAAAAGCACATTATCTGTCTCAGAGAAACAACATTTCGAAAAGTAAAGTGTTTTCAATGATGGCGTATCCAGAAACCTAAGAAAATTCTTTAAAAAAATCTTCGTTTCTAAAGATGTGAACTTGCTAATCCGATGTTGCATAAACTTTGAAGAGTTCAAATACTGTTTACTTAGCTAACAGCGTTCATAAAAAGATGCACACCTAGATACATCTTTTATATTGTACCATATATACAACATTGATTGAATTACATTTTGAGCCCATAAGTAAACTAACATGGTGTCATAAGCATGATATGAACACCTTGAGTTAATATTTATCAATATCACGTTTCGATGTCTTACTATGGATAATACACCAGCATGCATAGCAAAAGTAAGACTGGTTCGCCTGACCTGTTCCTCTAGTGACCTACTACGTGGGAGTACTGCACTTTACCGGGCGCACTTTCTCAGATTAATTAGCGCTGCTGGGGTTCCCTAACCCTAACCCCTAACCCTAAGGATAGTAAAGGGTGTCATACCCTAACCCTAAGGATCGTAAAGGGTGGCATACCCTAACCTTGCACTATACCAGGAATACGATTTCATTCATATTAACTAACCCTAACCCTAACCCTAAGGATCGTAAAGGGAGCAGCGAGGGCTGCGCCCGGTAAAGTGCATTCTAGCTATACAAATCATGTCAAATGAATATAATCGACATGTGCCTCTGTTTAACACTATTGCAATCGAAATGGACAAGTTTCGGAAGGAGGAAACGTGTGGAAGGGTTTCCGATGGAAGTACAAAACGAGTGGCACCTGTAGCTTTTCATTTTCTTACCACTGATAAAATAATTGGTATATATGTGCGATGGGTAAAAGTTCCGCCCGTAACCCCCGCTTGAAATGCATTCTATTTTATGATTATTTCGAGGGGTTATGGTTTAGGTTTATTGTAGGCTTTCTTTAAAAAAACGAACAACATCTACTCTTAGGCATAAAATGCACTTTAACGGGCGCAGCCCTCGCTGCTCCCTTTACGATCCTTAGGGTTAGGGTTTAGGGTCAGTGTATGCCACCCTTTACGATCCTTAGGGTTAGGGGTTAGGGTTAGGGAACCCCAGCAACACTAATTAATCTGAAAAAGTGCGCCCGGTAAAGTGCAGTGCTCCTGATAATAAACGGGGGTTGCGGGCGGGAAACTTTCCGTGCGATGTTGAAATGTTGTCAATGAATGAGATGGTATAACAGAGGCCGTATCTAACAAAACAGCTGATGTGCGAGATTGTTGGGTAAATGTGGGCAAGCTGTGAATGTAGAAAGCACTTCAACTGATATTCAATGGAATTATTAGCTGAATACAATCTTGTAAATGTACCTCGGAAATGTATGCAACACAGATTCTTCGAAATAATGTGAAGAACACCAAGGTATCTTTGATATCGAAGAGCACCTGTTTCGCGGCAAATCCTTTAAACGTCGGAAGTGAGACTACGCATGCGCTGAATTTCATCGTCTGCAGTACTTCCGCTCGAAATCTAGACTTACTAAATCTCCCATAAAAACGACACAGTCGAAATGTTAATAGCTTCATTCAGTACGTTCTAACGTAGATTCTATCATAGTTAGTGCTTCAAGGATCTATCCAATTAATTGAAAACAACAGAAGCGAATTTTACAATCTTTAATTACAACTGTTCATTAGACTGTCTTTTGGATGTTTTAGAATAGAATATGAATATTTTTATCGTAACAACTGTACACAACAATTTGAAAATTATATAAGAGTAATAACTTGCTCCTCGGTTTTCGGTGATGGCAAGAGTGAACTATTTTATTTTGCAGCTTGAATTGTTTTAAAAATTGCTTCTCGTAGAATATTACATTCGCAACAAATATAATCTGAGTAATCATAATTAAAGCTGCTTTTAAAATTATTAAAGATATTCGGTATTTCATGTCGTTTCCGGCTGATATGAGATGCAGGTTTTTAATGCTTACCGTCACTAGAGCATGGAAATGTGGGGACACATTCAGGTTTTGAACCCACAACCATAAGTTTCTGGCACGTGTCTGGGAACTGGGCCAACAGAAACATTTCAGTTTCATAAAATATGCACTATGCATTGCATTATATGGTGTTATGAAATGTATGTTATTTTTTAAAGTATTGTAAATGTCAAAAGTTGTCAAGTTTGCACTCGCATTAACCAACCGTACATGAAATCCAGAACCGTGAAGACCCGGGTTAGAATTGATCTTCAGCAACCCATATGCTTGTCGTAAGAGGCGACTAACGGGATCGGGTGGTCAGGCTCGCTGACTTGGTTGACACATGTCATCGTATCCCAATAACGTAGATCGATGCTCATGCTGCTGAACATTGGATTGCCCGGTCCAGACTCAAGTATTTACAGACCGGAATATTGCTGAGGGGTCTGAGGTGTAGACAACAAACCAACCACCATGAGATCCAATTGAGATATTATCGTTTTGTGTTGTTTCTAGTTTTGGGAATTGGTTAAAATTTCATTATTGATGATTGGTTCATTACCACCGATCAATCATCGAAAATAATTGGTTAGCGTCTTTTATGAAATTTGTTAATGCTCAAAAAATAAGGAAAAAAACATGTAGTTATTTTTTGTAGGGTGTTTTTGGCAAAATTTCGTATCTTTAATTTTTAAAGGTCACATACAACCAAAAAATCAAACATAATTAAAACACAATTATCACTTATTCATGACATATAATATACATTGCTGGTTACGAAAAAATAAATAAACAAAATTATAAGCGTACAATCGCAAATCGAAAGTGCAAAATTGTGTACTTCGGTTAACTTCCAAAGAATCGAAGCAGCCGGGATACCGAACCCAGTCAGAGCGGTCGGGTGTGCACTCAAGTGTAACGGCTGGTTCTTTTGCAGATGCCTTCACGGCTAATTGTGTGCAAAAATATAGAGAGATGTTGGGTTTTGTAAATACATGCTCATTTTTTGTGTAAACTGAGGGGCAAAAGAAACGTCCCCAAAGTAAAATTGTAAAAAACATTTCTTCTGTTTTCGTTATGACGGAAATTTATTTAGGAACACATCTCCCGAACGCATCCCCACGTCTCACAGAAAGGAAATCCACGTGGAGTTTTTTGTAAGCATGAAAATTGCTTTTATTCACGTTTTTTGCATGCTTCTGTGGAAACATACCCGTATGAAAGTACAGTATAAAAATTATGCTCGACTGTTCGAATTCATCACTTCAATACGTTGGACACAAAGAACATGCCTCGACTCACGGCAGAACAGAGAGAACGAGCTATTGGGATGTTGCAGCTGGGTGCTTCTCACAGTCACGTTGCAAGAATCATGGGTTGCAGCAAGAAAACCATCACCAGACTGATGACACGCTTCAGAACAACAGGTCGGACTGCAGACAGGCCTAGGACAGGAGACCACCCGTAACCACCCCTCAGGAAGACCGCCATTTACGGGTGCTTCACTTGCGCAACAGATTCCTGACTGTGACGTCATCAGCAACAACCAGCCTTACCCATCCAGTCAGTAGAAGGACCATATCCAGACGACTCCGCTTATTCGGTATCAGAGCCTACAGACCATTCCGGGCGTGACGTTAACGCGTGAACATCGACGTCGTCGATTGGCTTGGGCACGTAGAGTTCGGCAGTGGCAGCCGCGGAACTGGCGCCGGGTACTCTTCAGTGACGAGAGCCGCTTCCAGTTGAACAAAGCTGATGGTCGGGTACGAGTCTACAGACGTCGGAACGAACGCACAGCACGTTGTTGCGTTCAGGAAGTTGAGACGTTTGGCGGCGGTAGTGTGATGGTGTGGGGGGGGGGAATTTGTGGCGAGAGGAAAACTGACTTGTTGGTGATAGAGGGAAACCTGAATGCCCGTCGATACATTGATGTTGTTTTACGACCTGTCGTGTTACCCTTCCTCCAGCAGAATCGAGGCGTGTTGTTTCAGCAGGATAACGCTACTCCCCACACTGCTGTTGTTACCCGGAACTTCCTGAACAACAACAACGTAAACGTCATTCCTTGGCCAGCAAGATCCCCCGATTTATCACCTATTGAGCACCTATGGGATCATCTCGGCCGTCAGGTTAAGCAACGTCAACATCCCCCCACAGACAAGAAACGGTTTGGCTCAAGCTCTACAGGAAGAATGGCGTCGCATCCCAGATCACGTGATCAGACGTCTTGTGCACTCTGCACGACGTCGTGTGGCAGCATGTATCGCTGCAAGAGGTGGACACACTCGCTACTGAGGAGTTGGACACTCAAAGACACTCTGTCAGTACTGATGTGCATGTGTTGTCATGATCGAAAACCGGACATTTGAACCTCCTGTGAAAAACGTCACAAAAACTCTACTTACAGCAAATTGTTTCAATTGTTCTGTAATGACAGTCTGCATAATATGTTCAAAAATTATATCAAACATTTCAACATTGAATTGCACGTGTTTGTATCATTTTATGATAAAAAAATGATCGGGGACGTTTCTTTTGCCCCTCAGTTTATAATATTTTGCAATCAACAGACATCATAACATGTCATGTGTTCAAGTATCACACCTGCCTGTCTGTGTAATTACATAATGTGACAGAGACCGAACTCGGGCCATAAATCAATGCATTTTGTTTATGGTGTATAGCCTGATTGGTGTTAAGTTCAAATTGCATGTGGTCAGTGATAGCAGCTGTGTATTGAATATTGTCATTAGCAGACAGGCAGACAGACACACCGGTGTCAATAAAACAAGACATTTAGTTTAGTCTGTGACAACGACATATCTATATCACAGTTAGAAATTCTGTCAACGCTAAATAATGACATTGCTTTTAAGTATCGAACTGAGAAAGTGTCTCGGTAAGAAGAACGTGTGGTGATATAGACAAATGAAATTATATAAACAGTTAATTTACTGTCATAACATATAAAAAGCTCGCGCCTGTGAGATATCAACAAAACGTTAGAAAAATAGCTCACACCAAAGCCTTCACCGAGTATTCACCGGACAACCCGCTTCCAAGCTCCGCGAAACTATTTATTTGCGCACGTGCTATGGGCGCAGCCCAGCTGTTGAAACCCGTTTTCCCCCGAAAAGTCGGGGGAAAATTAGTGAAACGTTTGAACTCCGATTTCGCGCGTTTTTTTTCATCGCGTTATTTTTCAACTTTATAAGTTGAATGTGCATTTTTGACGATTTGTTTCGGTAAGTCCATATCGAAAGGTATCAGAATCTGCAAAGTTGTGTTTTACGTTGCATGTGACCTTTAAAGGATGACTAGTATGTTAGGAACATAATTTTCTTGGTGTCTTTAAGATGAATTCAATCACGACATGGAACAAGCTTGTAGTGCTTATGAAATGTAATAGATAAAACCAACCTTGTGAAAAATATTGTTGATGAAAACACGTGTTCCAGAATTGTTTGTATTCGATTATGAGAAAACATGATTGATTCCTTGATCGTTTAGTCACTGCGACCAATCTTCGATTATTTCAATTAATCGGACCACCACTAGTTGTTTCATGTCTTTCACAGACATTGTTACATGTCGCGGTGATTGGTTTGTTGCGAGAATCAACTTTATATGGATGTCCTGATTTTACATCAGACTCGTTAACGAGACTGTATGATCAGTTTGTCTTTAGGCTACTGATCCGTGTTACGTTTTGGAAATTTATGTAACATGCAATCAGCACGAGCGGACTGTGATTGGGAATCTTGATTAGCAGTCTGTGTATATATCAGTATGTCTATTACTCTTTAATAGATGCACGCTGTGACGGTGAATGCATGTTATGAATGAGCAATAAAGATGATAATAAATAGCATGGCTGCAAGAGCCATTAAACCTACCAGTGCTTCTTCAAAGCACTGTTTTAAACGTGAAGATGGGTTAGAATATGATCTTCAGCAACCCATGCTAGTCGTAAGAAGCGAGATTTGGGGGTCCAAAACGCCCGTGTGAAAAATATTGTTATCGAAAAAACATTTTTCTATTTATTTCATTATTAATCACCATCAGACATTTGTGAATATATACGTACATGTACCTTTTCCCCCGTCGTAAAACTGATATTTCCTACTGGATATTGTTTATCAAAATATTTTTACTTTGATGCGATATATGCCATAAATTTCTAAACATTCTAATCTTCTGTAAAATGTAGAACTCAATCTCAAATAAACAAATATAAAAACGCACAATTGTATTGATAACAACTTCTGTTTTATGCATTGTTTCCACTTAGATTCCTACATGCGTATCTGTAACATAATGCCGCTGAAAGAGTTTATAAAACCAAAGAATCTTATGCATAAAGATGTATATTTACCCACCAACGTCTCGGATGTCATTTCAATAGTTACTGTATATCTCCACTAAGTTGCTATTCATCTTGCTCACGGGGCGGTGGGGTAGCCCAATGGTTAAAGCGTCCGGTCGTCGCGCTGAAGACCCGGGTTCAATTCCCCACTTAGGTACAATGTGTGAAGCCCATTTCTGGTGTTCCCCAATGTGATATTGCTGGAATATTGCTAAAAGCGACGTAAA